GATGGATGGATGGATGGATGTTTCCTATCTGTTAAGTAACTTGATACCCACTGTAGTGCAGGACCTCTTATACCATATTTGTTTAATTTTTCCAGGAGAATACTGTGATCTATGGTATCAAATGCTTTCTTTAAATCTATAAAAACACTGACACAGTATTTCCTTTGATCAACAGCTGTTGTTATGTTTTCAATCAGGTCCATAAGAGCCATTGATGTTGAATGATTAGCTCTGAAACCATATTGATTTTTACTTAATATATGTTGTTTATCAATAAATTGATCTAACCTGGTGACAAACAACTTTTCCAAAATTTTTGAAAACTGTGGTAACAATGATATTGGTCTATAATTTGTAATAATTTAGTTGAATAGCCCTGTTGTAGAGCAAAGTATATCACCYGCACTGATGCTGACAAACACATTATGCAGTAACAATTTTGCTTTTTTTGTCCAATAACTGCAACTGAAGCTCAAAAAGTTAAAAAACAAACAATTTGCCTCGGATTGGAATCAAGGAGACATTAAGAATCCTGTCCAAGTCTGAGAAAACGACATTTCAACTTATATTATCCTTAATCTCTTAATTAAGGATAAAAATCTATAAAACTTAATGTCTGTGGTTCCGTCGCCTCAACCTCCCATGTGTGTTGAAAAAGATAAAAATAATGGTTAATGCAAATCAGGCACGACTGGATGAGTGCTCAGCGAGCAGCGATGTGGACAAATGCAGTCCAGGTCAGTGTCAGTGTGGATGTGAAGGCTGGGGATGATGTTCTGGTGGGCCGGACGGTGGATGGGAACTATTAGATAAGGAGGGAGGGAGCCCCATCCCATCCAGCGCCGGTGGATTAGCTCTGCTAGCCGACAGATGGCTGGTGGACATAAGCCTGCAATTTGTCCTTCCTGGATCACCAGCCTCCTCTCATATTTGCCATCCACCGGCGCAGGAGTGGAAGCAGACTTCAGATGAAGCATAAAAATAAGTTTAATAAAGGCAATAAAACTGTGAAGTAATAATTATACAAGACAGTTCCATTTCATCCATGTCTGAAATACTTTTTATATAACCACGAAAACACTTGTGAAAACAGAAAAAGTTCACTTTTTTTAAAGCGAATTTAGACTTTCTTGCATTATTTCAAGCCCAGACAAATGGCCGAAGTAAACAACACAGTGAAGCTGTAGGCTCGTAGTTTTGATTTTATTCGTGGCCGCAGATGCGAAAGGATTAGTCTGTGCTCTTTGTGTGTATCATCTCCGCTTTGATCCGACAGTGCCCTGACCCTGACCTGGATGTCACAGGGGGATTGACCCGCTCCCTCGCGACTACGCAGGGCGCAGGTGCCCCCTTGTCCTGATTGGGCGCCGCTGCCGGCTCGTGGGCCCGTCACTTCTCCCCGCCCTTCTCTTTCTTCTTCTCTTCTTTTTTTTCCTTCTTTTTTCTTTTTGGGAGTCATTGCTTCCTGCAGCCCTTAAGCCTCTTTTTGTATCAGCGCTTAATCCAACCGGCGACAAGAGCCCTCAGCGGGCCTGTCAGCCACCCTGCGGAGATCACGGGAGATGAGAGCGGCGAGGAGCGTGGGGCTGGAGAGACGGCTGTAACAACACATTTGTGGTTACATTTGTCATGTGCTCCTCATCTTAGCGATGAGTACCTGTGAGTTATGAGCCTGGTGCAATTATGAGGGTTGTGTGCGGGTGAGGAGGGGGGAGTGCGGGGCCGTCGTGTTCGCAGCGAAGCACAGCAATCCTGTCTTACATGACTTTCACRCTGTTTCCAGATTAAGAGTGCATTCCCAGCCTCCTACTGTGACCTCGCATGTGTGAATGCTTCTGTGCCCATCACACACATTCATACCAGGCAGCTACAACATTAAACCACACCTTTTKTAAAATAAAAAACGTTACGTTTAACGTCTTTTATGACATATCAAACAGGGGGCATCCGGGCGTGAAGCGTCAACAGGAATTTTTTTGGAAATGTTTTTTCCTTTTTTATTGTTGCACTGCAGGGAATACCAGGAACCTCCATGCTGTCATGCCTTCAAGATAAAAACATAAACACGAGGGGGCGGGCATGCATATTTAACGCTTAAGTGTTAATATCTGCAGGCGAAAAGAACTGCCTTCCTCATAAGTATGTGCGAGCGGCAGAACTTCAACAGCGAGCGAACGAGCTGTCTCCAAAGCAGCAGAGCTCCACATGCACCCCGTGCTTCCCCGGTTCACTGCAGCCCCCAGGAAATGCCTTTGTAGTTTGGCATGCTGCAGCAAATCCGACGCCGCTCACCCCAAACTTACCCCAGTCTCAGATGAGACACTATATACATTCGCATGCCTGTAGTCGTGAATTATTGAGCATGCTATACCGAGTCATCCCTTCTGAAGTCAGAGATACGGTAAAGGCATCCTGAATTTTTTAAATTAGCACTGCAGATATTGAGTGGGAAGGAAGTTGGCTCACAGGTAGAGAACAAGCTGAACTGGAAGATTTTTCCCCCCTCTTCTTTTTATAGTTTATTTAAAATATCTCCTATATTCTGTGTATACACAAAAATGTAGCATTTTTAACTCAAAAACTGCTTAAGATTTGTACTGATCTGCTTAACGAAGTGGTCACACACTTACACAAAACAAATTATCAGAAGAAGTTGTATTTAAAAACCTACCAAAGTCAACATTTTGTCCTGTTTGTTTCATAAAAACGAAACAACATAACAACAAAAGAAATGTCGTGCAATGTTAAAAGGCACATGGAGAAGCTGCAAACACAAAAAAAGTCTACAATTATGATACGCTTGCAATAGTTGCCTCTTTTTGACAACTAATAGCCTTAGGTGTAAAGTGTAAATCCCAGCAAATAACCTCATAAAAATACCAATTCAATCATTTAAACGTAGCAGGGTACCCATTACTACGAAAACAAATAAAGTTAAGACAAATGCAACTAATTTGCAGTTTTGATTCACCAAAACACCTGTTTGTCTTATAACATTACGCACTATTTTCCCATTTCCAAAAAAATATRTTTTACAGAGATATGGTCAAATAATATCAAACAATCAGACTCTCAGATTTAGAGTTCATTTCTCCTTATCACTATTATGAACGATTTACAGTACGTACATTTACTGATGACACTTTGATGTATTTTCCATCTCATTTATCTAAAGTGTATTGAATGTTTATAAAGGGCTGCAGCAATAACGTTTGATTGCTTTATTTGCTGACTCGTGCATTGCAATTTGCAAAGTTATGTGAATCATTAAAGTGCCATAAGTTATTCTCTTCCACACATTTAGCTTGCTGGGCGTCAAGGCATCTTTACGACACCCTGGTCCGAATTATGAGTTCAGCCCGTCAACCTAAATCTTCTGCCCAAACTGTCCCCACTTTCCCACCCTTCTTGCTCCCAAATCTCAATTTTCCCTTTCATCTCCATGTCACTCCTTGCAGACTCTCCCAGCTTTAAATCCTTTTACCTGTGTTCCTACTTGTATTTATGTTCGTTGTTTACTTCTGCATCTCTACATCTTGCTGACATCACTGTCACTTTTCTAAAAGTGACTCTGCAGCAAGTGTTGATCATTGAAACCCAATAACAAATTTTAGCAATTACCAGTGCTCAAAGTATGACCACTACTTAAATTTCATTACAACAAATGTAGTTTTCTAACTGCAACAATCCAAATTTATAATGTAGAAGATTTGGTTGTAGAGGACAATTAATGAAACTGAAATCTGTATACTTGCATACCTGCATATTTTAGGGAGGTATGCTATAAAAGTGACAATAAGCTAAAAACAAAACCTTTGAAGTGCTGGTACCGCTTGCCGGCAACTACTGGCCAACTTTGAGCACCGATAAAAATAAAGATAGGATTGGTTCCTGACACACTGCCATCCCAAAGACATTCAGTTTGAATTTGCTGGTAACATTTCATTAGATATAACAGATCCCTCCTCCTCATCCTGCTCTGAGCTTACACAACTCTGGCTTCTTTGCCCTGGAAACAGCGAGATAAAGAAGTCTGTGTTCACACTAACAAGAGAACATGTATGCACGCACGGCAACTATCAACTGATAACAGAGCAGATGGGGGTTTTGAGGCCTCTTCAGCACCTGTACAACAGGAGTGCATTGATAATATAGACAGTCAATGTGGACAAGTCAGCAAAGCTGATATGAGGCGCAACAACATCCAAGAAGTTTAAAAAAACGGCACAAAATTGTATATACTGTCTGTGCTGGAAGGCATGTGCATCCTACAAGTGATCTATTATTATACTGGATGAGTGTTGACAGAGGCCACCATAAGCTGCCCAAGTTATTTAAAAAATTACCAAAACTAATTGTGTGAGAATTGTAGTCCATCAATTTTCACAAAAAACAACTCTATTTTCTAAATCGAACTCTAGCATTAAATTCTGAAAGAAAACAATCCTCACAGGAAAGTTAATAAAACTACAAAAAAAAAAAAAAAAAAAAAAAAAAAAAAAAAAAAAAAAAAAACCAACTAGGATTCTATTGACATCACTCAACTCTGTGAATATGTTTTATTTTCCTCCAGTGCAGATCACAGGAAGGTTACAAGACTGATGAAAATGTTGCTTGCTTGGCAGATTCAGAGGAAGGCCGGGAGTCTTACCTTGCAGCCTTCACAGGCGCTGACACCATAGTGGTACCCTGAGGACTTGTCCTGGCACACAAAGCAGGGTTTGTAGACGCGGGGCGGCGGGGGAGGCGAGGGTGGGCTTGGCACTATCTCCTCTGAGCTGGTACTCTGGGTTTCTATTGCTGCAGAAAGGAGAGAGCAACAGGAGCGGGTTAGCAAACGCTATCAGATGGAGCCCTGACAGACGCTCAGCATTAATCAATACCAGCGGGATAAACACAATCTCACGAGTACACACATCCACAAAAACATTAGGCAACCCAGGGCAAGCAGATACGCCTAACTACATCCAATAAAAATCAGCACTTCAAGCCACGTGCCATACAAAAAATAACAGATTAAAAGAAACAAGTACAGCTTCCTTATCGTGAGCTATAAAATCAGCCACAGGAAAGATTTCCTAATATGTCTTTTATCAACACAAACACTAAACTCATCCAAGCAACAACAAATGCAGCACTAGAATTTATACCTCCGATGACGTATTTGTGTGTACGTGTGCTACAGCAAGGCGGCTGCACAGGGCTTCAAAGACTGGTTTTCTCCTTTGATACAAGACCTGAAATTCTGCCTCACTGTTAAAAATTCAGCATTTCTTTTGGATACGGGTGCTTCCATTGACTATAGGATCAATCATACACAGCACCAGACTCCTTCAGAGCAAGTGAGGTGAGCCTCGAGTTGTATCCATCCCAAACCGTGTTTATCATTTATACATTCAGCACATAGAAGGTTAAATACGCTCCATCTTGGTCTGGTGGAGGTTACACTGACAAAGCAAACAACATATGGGTAGGGATTATGGGGATGTAACCTGTCTTCATGTAATACGTGTTGGACTTTGACCTCAATATCATCTGTTACAAAACAGCCTTTAAATCAATTAAAAATCACATCCAAAGAGCGAGGACTTCATCTCTTTGACCGAAAAAGTCCATAACATCCAATGGAGAATTCTGATGTTGATCTTGGATCAGGGTGGATTTAGGGTGGTACAAAAACAGTCCTTGCATGTACAACTTATTTTTTTATTTAACCAAATCAAGATGGTTGCTACAGCCAACGGACCTTAATTTAAAAAGATGTTTGTAACTGTAGTCATTTTTGACTGGCAATGAGGTACAATTTGGTGCGGTAATAGCTGAGTTTAATACCCCAAAACATATGCTGATCTATCTTTGTTTCAAATCTTACCATTAACTATTAAAAGTCAACTCTGCCTGTCTGTTAGCAAAATATAGTATTTTATAATCCATTGGATGGATTTTAACAAAATATTTGTGAAATTTATATTTACGGTTGATAAAACTTGCAGTCAATTCAACTCAAGATGGCCACCACTAGGGCTGGGTTAAAAAATCGATTTAATCTATCTGGATCGATTCTCGTTCAAATTTGGGGAAAATCGATTCATAAGTCATGAGATCGATTCTGCGCGTTTCCATGCTGTGTGTCACTCCTGGCTTGCCGTAGGTTTACAGCCAGTTGACGGTCAGCGCTAACATTAGCTCCCAAAACAAAAGAAACAAAGGAATCACTAACATTACAGCTGATTCTTAGCTGAACTTAAAGATAACAGAGGCCATGACAACTTTTATTTGCGAAGATTTGCGCTCGGATGCGGTAGCAGGAAACGAATCTTCGAGCGGCTCAAACCAAAACTACTATGGTATGTAAACATCTGACTGAAACTGTTCTCCTCAGCATGTATAAATGTGTGAAAGATGACAGTCTAATAAAATCGTTTAGTTTTGTTACCAGTATTATTTATAAATTTTAGAAACAACTTAATGTAATTCACAGTGATGGAATGTTTTAGCTGAAGTACTTTTTTTCTTTCTTTCTTCTTGTTAATTCTTATTGAGCAGAAGCTAACAGAAACATTACAAATGTACAGTTTTCATACGCTCAAAAGAGTGGGCAGAAGTATACACTTATCCTACCTTTTCTCCTGTAAACTTTTTCCATCAGTTCTTAATGATCAAGAAAATTATTCTTAGTTTCTTAAAAAACTAATGTATCCAACAACACTTTCTCTTGCAATTCCTTTTTAGTTTAAACCCTTTGAAATTTGAGAAAGTTTTGTTTCAATATTAAACTCCAATTTACAAGTTTGCCCTTAACGTTTATAATTTTGCCAATGCACCAAGTTGTAATTAGTTTCTACTATTTACAGAATTAGTTCCTTTGAGAATGTCTTCTATGTCAAAGTAAATGTGTTACTGCATGACATCCTTCATTAATTTAAAAATCAATCAAACTGAATCGTGAACTGTCCTGAATCGTGACTCGAATCGAGTCCCTGTGAATCGATTTGGGAAATCTGAATCGATACCCAGCCCTAGCCACCACAGTGAATAAACATTAGTCAATGCAAGAATATCTACAACCAGGGTTGCACATAAAATTTTTGGTCTGGTTCTCAGGGGAGAACCTAGGGTTGTTGCTTGGTGCTCATATTTTCCTTCACTCATTTAACACATTTATCTAGAGGGGTGTCAGGGCATCTAACGTCCCCCTGTTCTGTTTTATGACTCCTATCAGCTGCAACGTCTCAGGACATCATGCCAAATCAGTCCACAGAGTTTTTATTTTATTCTTTTACTCCGCATAAATTTTGTAAACTACCTAATTGGCCGAGGGGCTGGGTGTATGTCATATAAACAYCATAAACTGAACATTTCATGGTTAAATGCCTTTTAGACTAASATGTCCCTCGGATGGACAGCTCCTGTAGTTTGAYCTTCWGCATCTTCAGCCTTGGTTAAACCAGCTTTCCACACTCTCCAGWCCAAGCAGCAMATATCTGTCTTTTGCACGAAGTAAAATAACTTAAAACATACAAATGTTTTATTTGTTAGCAAAGACTATTTTATTCAAAAAGATAATACTATTTAGATGGTTTCAGCTCATGTAATTATTTATTCTTCATATTTGATCATTTAATAAATTACATTTATCCCAGAGCAGCTGTGTCACAGTATGGTCCTAAATATAAATAAGTTTAGCAAATCAAGAACCTTGTTTTTTGATAAATTTGTGAATGAAATTTGTGGATCTTTATGATAAATTAACATTTAAAACCCACCTAGAGAACATGGCAAGTTGTTTTTAATTTTTAATATATATAATGTTTTTGACTGGGGTGTTAAACAGAGAATCATCTTTGCTTTAATATGGGGCAAACAAATGTTCTGTTAGTTAATGTGGTTTAATTAGAAGAATTCAGTGAATCTCACAGATAGCCTGCGCGCGCAGCGACGCGCTCATACAGCAGTCTCTCAGGAGGAGAGTTTAGTCACTCACACAGAGTTGGACAGATCTGTTCAATAACAACATTCTGAACATATATTTAATATAAAGTTAGGTTTTACAGACCAAAGTCTCTGGTAGTTCAGGAGCAAAGTTCAGGAGGAGCGGAGGAGGAGATGTATGGACTAATCGCTGCAGCAGCTCGAGTCGAGCCGGCCCCCTGCTTCAACCAAACTTGCTCTCACTGAAAGTCCCGCCCTGCTCTGCTCTGATTGGACAAAACGGCTCTGGACTTTGTCTGATTTGTTGAAGGCAGTGTCCGTTTAATCCTTATGTCAGGGTCCCGCTGTGGCRCACCAAACAACGATCCATTCACACCAGTGCCGCTGGATTCTTTTTTATTTTTATTATTTTGAGAAATCAGGTTGCATTTGTGACCAAACTGGTCGCACTCTAGAGCCCTGCTAGCTGTTGTTTTGACAGACAATCAGGTACAATCTTAGGTACGCAAGGGAGATTTATGACGTTACATCTGGTGCGCTTTTTCCTTTTTTGACCGCGCATGCGTACCTGCGCACTGCTTATGTGCCACTCCGTCTATAACAGTCAATTCTACATACATTTAGCTAAAATGTCGATGTGTCAATAGCTAAGAGTCATTCACAACTCATAATTTGAGCGTGACATCTTGCAGTTTTGCACAAGATTACGCATTAAGTTATTTATAACGTTTGACCAAATCAGACGGCCACAACATCTTAATTTCTGTCAAGATATTCTTAGTGTAAAATGCTGGCATGAAAGGCAGCAAATAATATGCATTCATTCAAGGAATGCAAGACTCTGACTTTTATGTTGCTTTTGCAATCATGTCTAACCAGGATGAAAACCTTCAACCTTTGTACATGTGGTAAGACATGGGTATCAAATACCTTTGCTTGTGATGTTTAAAGTAAAACTATGTACAGTACATTTAATGAAAAAACAAAATCTTAGCAATCCAAGCTTGCTGCTACAAGAACAAAGAATTCACATAAACAAGGATGAATCAACACATTTATGCCACTTCGATTCATTTCTAAACAATGCAATAATTCACATCCAACATAAAAAGTCCTTGAGTTTTTCACAGGGAAAGTTTATTGTAAGGTTAAACAGTCCTTTTATGACAGAACAGAGACTCATTAAACCTTCAGCAGCACACCTAACAAAAATAAACAACAATGAAGTGTTTGCCCTTTACGCACACACATTGAAAAGTTTTACTAAATGTGTTTGGGTTTTGTCTCTGCTCAGATAAAAATTACTTGGAAAAAACAACAACAAAAGAAGCAAACTGATGACAACATAATTCAAAGATTCCTGGAACAAAATAAAACAGTAACTGTACTCCAAACTAGGCCAATAAACAGCTGGGTTTCTTGTGTCAGATAAACTTGTTCTAAACTACCATAAAACTCATGTAACAGATACCTGGTTTAGCCTTGTTCATGCAGATGATTTATAGACATGCTATTTAAAAAAATCATCTTGTCATTTTCTTCAGCTTGAAGAGTAAAGTGGGGGAGTTTTTTAGATGATGTAGCTATGCGTTTTAAATAGTCAAATCAGACATTTATTTTTCCAGGTAAAAGAACTAGAAGTTGATTTTGCACACGAGGATTCATTCATAGCAAACGTGAGAAAACGTGCACATTGTGGACACGGCAGGGAAAATTTGCTGCTTATCGCCATTATGTCGATGTCATTATGAGCCATTGTTGCTCGTGCTACTGCGCGATGCAGTCACTACACTCATGTCAAGCAAATTAAGCTTAAACAGGGCGACCCTTACGTAACATGGCATATTTTCTCATTAGCAAAAATCCAT